TGAAAACAGTAGAAGATCAAGAAAGTCTTAACATCAGATTTGTCACTAGCTCATTTTGACTCTAAAGATTGTGGTTGCATAAGATGTAAGCGATTCGGATATTGGAACAGTGATACTACACAAATATGAAGATGGAACAACTAAACCAATAGCTCATACTTTAAGATCATTGATTGCAGCTGATAAAAAGCTACAACCAGATAGAAAAGGAAGCTTTGCTATGAAAAAGTTTCATAAATTCATACATGGTAGAAAATTCATACTACAGATTATCGTCGTTTGTTGTCCATATATGGATCAAAAGAGGGTGTTCCCCACACATACAGCAAATAGACTGCAGTGCTGGGTTACTATCCTATTGAATTATAATTATAAAATAGAATTTCTACCATCCAAAACTCATGCAGACAGATTGTCTAGACTAATACCAAAATTCTGCGAAGCACTTGAAGACACAGCAATTGTGGTGATAAGGGCCGAAATGAAATTAATAATGTATTATACAATACTATAAGAGAATTGCACATAACATTGTAGGAAATCAGAGTTAAGTCGGAAAAAGATGACTTTATAATGAAAATGAAGAAGTAATTAAGATTTAAAGGAAGAAATATTGCTGGAAATAATGCATTTTCACTATGTAATAATGTACTGCAGGAAGAATTGTGATAGCAGCATCGTTGCAAAGATGTATGCTAAAGGAATTTCACATAGGACATTCAGGAATTTCTAGAATGAAATCCTTAATGAAATCCTTATTGGCCAAAAATGGATCAAGATATTGAAAATTTAGTGAAATCATGCAGAGGTTGTGCTTTGGCAGCAAAGTCACCGCCTTGGCCAAAAACTGATATGCCATGTTCCAGAATACATATAGACTTTGCAGGACCATTAAATGGAGTATACTATCTAGTGGTAGTCGATAGTTACATTAATGGCCAGTAATATTAAAATGTAGAAAATCTAATATCGAGGTAAAAATGAATTTCCTAAACGAGATTTTTGCAAGGTTCGGTGTTCTTATCGTTTCAGATAACGGGACTCAATTCACGTCTAGTGAATTTAAGTGTTTTGCAAATCATTAGCAATAAAATGTATTACAACTCCCCCTTATCACATAAGATTAAACGGTCAAGCGGGAAGGTTTGTCGATATGTTTAAAAGGGCATTAAAATGTCGAAGGGAGAGGAGTTAGATGAAAAAATTCTACAACAATTTTTGAGTGTTTACAGAATAACACCAAACCCAAAAGCCACGTCTTGAATGTTGCCTGCAGAGTTGATGTTCGCCAGGAAGCTTAAGTCAATATTTAACAAATTACTACCAGAAAGGAAGACGAGAATATCAAGGAATCAAAATAATATAAATAAATACTTTAAGCCTGGTGATAAAGTGTTTTTTAAAATGTAGCAAAGTGGAAAATAATTCTGGAAAGATGGCGTTATAAAAAACGTATCGGCAAAATGACATACATTGTACAGGGAGAAAGGTGGGAATGTAAGCGACACCTTAATCAGTTAAAATGAAGATTCACTGATTTAGTAAGTCCACGAAAAGAGCTACCGATGGAAATATTGTATGACATGTTTGACGTACACATGCCACCAAAAATTAGTGAACCAAGGAGGTACAGTAAAAGAAAAAGAACAGCAACGGAACATTTGAATATTGAACAGAAACTGAAAAAACATAGACTCCTGAGGAAGCCATCTCAAAGGGGGGTGTTATATAGGAATAAAATGTTTGACCATAGAGGAAATGCATATAGGTAGGAAGTAGCTGACGACTAATGGCCAGAAATATTAAAATGTAGTGGTTACTTTTCGAGCGAGTATTATCGAGCGAGTACTATTATTGCGAGTTATATTCGAAGGCGTCTGACACCAGTATTGTTCAACGGCGTTACTATAGATCTATCTACGGTTACAAAGTCTCTACTACAACTAGCATTTACGAAACTTTTGGAAACAGCAGGAGTGGGTCGCATACTAAATTCATACAATTAACCCTTTTCAGACGGATGGACTGCATTTACTCGTTCACACAAGGGCATAGATATTTTATTGCATTCGGTGTCCATGTAAACAACCCAGAAGAGATATTCATGAGTAAAAAGGATTTTACTGTTATAGCCTCAACATAAGACATATGGTATAGAAGGTTAGGGTTAAGGTTAATTGAAATTAAATTTGAGTTACCTTAAAACTGGCAAAATTTAGTAACAATTACAGTTTGTAAAGGACTGACATGATTTTTTAATTTTTCTTTTTTGTTGTTTATGATTGCGGGTGTGAATAGGTTTTCAATTATTACAATTTATTTGGCACTGTAATGGTTAGGGACATGAAAAAAGATTTCGGCGAGCAAAGTTCAAATTCTGGCCGAATTCGTTATGTTCACTTTCGTACAAATAAGAGATAGATTCCTCCCTTCTCTAAGAAGGGAGGAATCTATCTTTTAAATAGCAAGGATGTCTTAAGATGGCAACCAGTCTACGAGAAGGAAAACACTGATTTCAAAACCAGTGTTAAGACTAGTGGGCTCCATCAGGCTATCTTATCTAAGACACATCACTGTTGCTATGACTGTAGTCCATTCAGTGCACCTACAACTCTAATGGTTTACCACACACACACACACACACACGCACACGCACGCACACGCACACACACACACATAACAACTAATAATGGCTTTAGACAGATGATTTTATAACCATTGTTTTACAATTGTTGTTTGCTTATAATTATGCAATTTTTCAAACAATTGAACAGTATGTAACCCGCCTCAGATGATACTAGAATAGATCTGCACTAAGTGTGGCGCTAGACCATCAAAGAAGCCAGGTGTATCAGCGCGTTGACCAGTCTATCCACCAAGTGCAGATCTGCGTTTCACTCGTTATCAGTGGCTGTTGCCGACATGTAAGTACATGGTCGACACAATATTGTGCACTCATGAGAAAAAAAAAAACGAATGGTAGATATATAAAAACCCACTCGAGAGGAAAAAGATAGCGTCTCTTACATCTTGGCGAGAATATAGAATCCATATTCTCATTAGTAATGTACGACGGTAACGTTTTAATTGGGTCCACCGGATAATTTCTTTCTATTTTTTTATTCTATCAAAAATTGATTTTCGGAAAAATGCATTTAGTAATCTGGCTCAAAAAATGAAATGACTTTTGTATTCAATGCCAAACTGTCACTCAAGTCATAAAATTAATACCTCGAATAATCTGGTGAATATAATTAAGTCACTTACAATGCCATATTCATAGCTTACTGAAAGAGAATTAAATACATTTTGAATTGCTTCAAATATATAGTGGGTATTAATCAATAATACAGTCTGCGGTTCAATATATTTAATGTACTCAGTATACATAGTTCTATACGGATATATATAAAATTTAGAAAAAACTCTGAATGAAAAGAGCACAAATTAAATCAGTCTGCATTATAGATTTCTAACTGAGTGAAGAAAGCTCGCTCTGAAAACTGATTGAACTGAGGCACTCTAAATAAAACGTAACAAAATGTCGGTGGATAATGCTTACCTTAGTTGAATAGCGCATGCGCAAGAAAGCGGCGAATGACGCCTGCGCGAGAAAGCAGCGAGTGACGCCTGCGCATACAGTGATATCATTAAAACAAGCCAAGACACATTGTACAGGAGGAAGAATAAAAGAAGAAAAACAAAGATTATGAAAAATTATCTGATAAAATAATCTGAGGAATATGAGAATGAAGAAGACGATGAAAAATATGCAAGTAAAAGGAAGTGGGTGGAAGGCGATGATTATACGAATTTCTTTTATAAGAAAGTTAAGCGGAATGGGAAAGTAAAACAAGATATAAAAAGAGAAAAAATAATAGTAAATAGAAGAGGAAAATGAAGAAGAAAATTTTCAAAATATTGGTAAATACAATGCAATAATAATAATAAGCTAAATTATAAAAGAAGAGCTGATCCCCTGTCCGTCACAGACTGTGTGTACCTTTGTATGCACGTATGTAATGGCTATGCTTACCTTTATGTTGTGCGTGGGTGACTTACATATGCTTGCGTCACTTAAGGTATACACACACGCACGTGCACACACACACACACACACACACGTGCGATCTGACGAAGTTTGAAAAAAAGCATTTGAATAATGCATTTCTCTCTCACTCAGTCTAAACAACCCTTACACTGGGCTGAGCAACAGAATCATAAAATTGAAGACTAAACAAGTGATCATTTTTACCCACCCCAAATATAAGTTTATATTGAACTTTCCGGGAATTATTCAAATAAAATTGTTTTTAAAGATATTTTTTGAAAATTAACGAAATATTTTTAGTACTACACACACAATTTGAATGAAACTCTGAAATGAACTCCTGTGTCGCGAGGGTTAATTTTCCAGACAAAGTGTTTAAAACGAAATAGGCGGTCATTTTTATGATATCTGAATTTTACCTGAATATATTTTCTAATAAATGTAACAGACAATTTAAATTTAAAATGTGATCATCTTGCCATCAGTGAAGCGATGGTTGCCGAAATAATAATAATTGTTGTGGTTGCTGAGATCAAAATCGTGTTAAGTGACTGAGAAATTCAGCAAATATACAGATCTCCACACGGACGGGATACATTGAAGGATATGAGTACTGCCATGTTTTTTTTGTTTTTTTTTTGTTTTTGTAATTTGCATTTTTTAGGGTTAACAGGAATTTGACTCATTTTCATATCATTCCCAAAGCCGCAAGAACAACAACAGGAAATGTTTTTGTCTTGATTTCTGCGGATTTCAATCTTGAGATCTTTGTATTTAGTTTCGCAAAGATTTTCAAAAATGTTTTTTTTTTATCGGTTGGGATTGCAACATTTATCAGCAAAAAATTTCCCCCCCAAAATTACGTCTGGTCAGTTTACCTGAATTTCCCTCTCAGTTTGAACGCTGAAATTCCATATTGTTATTATTATTATTATTATTATTATTGGGCACGTACGATCACTGAAGTTAAACAACGTTGGTCCTGGTCAGTACCTAGATGGGTGACCGCTTGAGAATACCACGTGCTGCAAA